AATATCACTTTGATTGAATCGTGATGTTGTTAATAACATTTTCTGGGAACACTTTTATTTTATAGACATTTTTCAAATTAAAATGACATTTATATCTACTTGATATATACTTAAGACACACAATCGTGCAATCACACACATAAAAAAAATAAAAAATAAAAAATAAAAAAAAAACAATCCTCCTCCACCCAGGCGATCTTAAACATCATCATTTTGGCCACAAACGGCACATCTTCTGGCCACATTACAATACCAGGAGAAGCTCGATGCAAAGCTGCAGCAATTGCCATATCCATCAAAGCACACGCACTCTTAACTTAACTAAGTAGAAACAGCTACTTGATGATGGATCAAAAGGAAGTTAATACCACTCCGCTTCCCGATGTTGGAAAGGGGCGTAGCATTAGTCAGGAGAGATTGAATGTCGAGGCTCCAGCCTTCCACCAGAAGACATAAAAGCACACTACTCCACTCGATGACTAATATATGCCAACGTATTTTCTTCAGTCCATTTGTCAAGAAAAACCTTCATTTTGCTGCGAGATGCTCACATAAGAGACAGCACGCTTCAATGACATCTTAAAGACTTTTCAGAGTCAACCGTGGTCTTTTTCCATTGCACAACACGGAGGAACCACTGAGTTATGTATTGCCGCAAAACCTCACTGCATTTTCTGGCAACAAAGTAAAGACAAAAGCCCATGCCAGTCTGTCCAAGCCCAATTGTGTTTATAGCTTTGGCTTCCTCAGTCAGTTTGCATGAGGCACATTTCTTAGATTGGCTCTTTATACTATATTGCACTGGCAAGCACCTGTGTCTGACATAACTAGAATAGAACATAGAGAAGAGCACGGTTGTAACCTCGTAACCAACAGTAATATCTCTGATGGATGGAATACACGCGCAACACTTTGCAATGTAACACAAATCCCTAAACAGCTAAGCGGGAATTGATCATCAGGCCATGCTCTTCTACCCTAAAAAGGCCCGGTTGGTGAAAGCCATTCACTTTCAGCTACAAGCCAGAGACTGACTCTGTGCACTTCAAACCATTTCCCAGCAAAGAACACATTCTTTGTCCAACGAAGTGGCTGTTCAGAGACACCCACAGGAAGAAGACCTCTAACGAGTGAAGAGCCAAGCAAAACAACACACAGTACATGCAACTTCCATCTTCATAAGTTGGTCATCCAAATGTGTCATTCTCTTGTTGCGTCCAGCATTCAACCATGCAACAATTCACCTGGATAGATTTTGTACCTATATCTGTCACAGTCTTAGACAATCACATTAAATCAAAGTATAAAACACATTGGGACAAGCCAAAATTTGTAGAGGTTGATATGAAGAAATGTGTTACAGAAGGCTTCTTTCTCATTTCAGCTAATTCATTTTAAAGAAGCGAATGATATGTGGAACAAGAAGAAGAGAAGTCCAGGTGCCTTTAAGACCTGCATGTACAAGTTATACTTAAGTACCGTCAAATGCAAAAGGACATCTATTTTCAGAAAAAACACAACATCAACTATTATGCTATCACATACACCTTCTGTGGTGGAAAATAGCACACAAATGCATTTCAGAGTAATGGAGATTGCTGTGGTAAACCTTCAAATGTTTCAAACATTTTCTCAGCTCATTATTTTTAGACAATGGCGACACGACGTGACCAACAAAAACGCACACAAAGAGAAGCATCCAGACTGTTGTTCCAATCCTGACAGTCATTTTGCAATCACAACATATCTACATAACTTTGACAACATTTAAACCAACGCTTCAAAAAAACAAAAAATATGAACAAACTCATTTAGCCTTTGCAAAAACACTTGAAGACTTACTCGAAGAACATGATGAACTAAAAGCATCATGACAAGACTTGTGCAACCATAACGCACAGTTTTCCTTTGCTGGATTTCGTGATGGGCATAGCAATATATTATCCATCCAAATAGGATCGCATATGAGATGGAGCCAATTCCTGCTGCTTTTGGGTGAAGTAGAAGGTGGACAAAGAACATCCTGGACTGGTTGCCAATGAACCACGTATAGGCAAACAACTCTTCACACTCATCTTCCAACATGTGAGCACTTTTGTCTTTTGAGTTCATCTGGCATGCATATTTTGGGGATGTGAGATTTGAGGAATCCTGGAATCCCCAGGAGAAAACACATACAAAGGAAAGGGTGAATAAACAAATAACTTCACACAGAAAGGCCTGAGCTGAACACAGAACCTCTCAACTGTACTAAACACCAATCCGTGGTGCTGCTTGGTAATAGAAATATATATATATATATATATACACACATTCTCTCACACACACACACACGCACACACACGCACACAAACATTGTGATTCATCATTCCCTTACAGTACAGGTGTAAGCATGCTCATTATAATACTGCTCCTGCACAATATCACCACATCTGTAACTGGCATGTTGTGACACACAAAGTAGCCTTTTGCAACTATCCTGCATTCATTTTTGCTTATTTTCAATCAGTTTGAGCAATTTGACTTTTGCTTTTTGTTTTTTAAAAATATGTGCAGCAATCACTGGGCATAACGAGAAGAGCTGGAGCTGCTGAAACATGCTGCGGCTGCACTGGGCAAAGCCCAAAACAACTGTGCATTGTTTATGCACTGTGCATTGAACTGTGACCACCGTTTCACACAATTCGATACAGATACACATATTGCACTTTACTCTACTAGATGACAAAACTGGAAGATTCATGACCAAAACAGAAGGAACACGCAGGTTGAGACGCTCGATGTTAGCTTTAAAAGTGAGGGAATTTATGGAGCCAAAACTAACGTTGCCAAACCAAATCATGAAAGATAATATTGTCAGACAAGCTAAGCCAAAGAGAAAAGAACGTGCACAGGTTCTGCTCCAAATGAGTTTGGGCTCATGTTCAAAAGTGAATTTCTGTGTTGATTAAACAGTAACTGATAACTTGAGTGTCAAGAATGTTTGGCATATGAGAGCGGTAACATGTAGAAACCAATGAATGAATGTGGCAGAGGGCAAGTGAGAACACAATGAGGGACCAGTTGGGTGTTACATCAGTGGCAACAAAAATACACCACACTGAGACCTCCCGCCCCCAAGAAAAAAAATAAAATAAAGAAATAAATAATCCAATCGTCAACAATAGTGTACATCTGTATTAAAAAGAGAGGGGGAAAAAACAACTCGAGAGTAATCACAAACATGTGTTTTTAATTCACTAACAGTGTTGAAATATTTTATTTTATAATTAATCTGTCCACACTCTTACATGTGCAAGTCTAAGAGAATCATTCCCTCATAGATATTTGTATTGCACCACTGGCGCGATCACACAAAGATGCACTCACGCACATTTCATGGCACAGTAGACACAAACACACTGGGATACAGAGACACAAAGTCTGGGGCTGCTGCCTGGCATCCCCGAGCAGGCACTGGTACCATAAAGGACGGGCACGGCATGAATGCTGATCATTTGCCTAAAAGCTAGCCAGCAAAATCCAACCAACCAGTCTGGCAGAGCAGCATTTAATCTTGGCAGTCCAGCATTGCATCCCATGGTGCAGTGTTGCCTGGGACACAAAACATGATTGATGTCCAGCCGAGGCCTTAAAATCCACTGCACTCTTTAAAAAAAGAAACATCAAAAAGTGAAACAGACTTCTCATGCATGACTACACTGCCCTTAAAACAATAATCACATTTCCTAAAATTAGATCCACAAAAATCTGCATTCATGAGACAACTTTTTCATTGCATTTGGTGACTTCTCACACTGTTGCATATTTTCTGAAATGAAGGTAAAGATGAATATTAACGTTATCCTTGATCGCTGTCCAAGGTTACATCTTTAAAAGGATAAATTAATAATTTATTTTCAGAAGCATCGCAATTTACGAATGGTTTTAGATGTAGAACGCAATTGCAGTGATCTGTGCAGAGCGGAGGCGGGTGATATATACACTGATTATTGCATCCAATAAATCAGTCAACAGCTCCGTGCATGGCAAAGCAAAAGAGAGCACATGCGCACAAACGAACCCATGCGCGCACATGGACACGCATTTTCAATGACACTCCTGCAGGCCAATCTCACAAACACCTCCATCCTTTAAAGTAATTATGGAACAACAGCTGCACCCCCGCTCTGTAAGAAACCAGAACTGTTTGTTTGTTCAAAAGGTGAACTGGATATCAACACACTTAACTATCAGATCGAACAAGACTGCTGTTTGTGTGGTCCACAACAAACACAAAGCTCTGAGCCTGCCTCTCAAATGGTTAACTTAAAGTATATCTCAGATCTACTTAGAAAAGTACTCTAATAATTATGCCCTGCGATTGGGCGGCAACCAGTTCAGGGCGTATCCCGCCTACTGCTGGGAGAGGCTCCAGCACACCCGCGACCCTCGTGAGGATAAGCGGTTCAGATAACGGATGGATTGATAATTAAATTTAGTTCAGGCTGCAAAGCTGATGCTTCAATAAAACCTGTAAATCATGGGCTGTTTTTAATTCCCTTCAAGGTTATAGAACCTGTCCATCAGTACTGCTGATCTTCTACTACGCTGCAGGGAGTTAGAGGTTATCCGAGCTGACTTCAGTCAAAAGGCAGACTACACTGACGTGGACTCGTCACCAGTCAATCGCTGGGCACATTTCGAGACAACAAGCCTCTCACACTCACATTCTCACCACAGTGAGAGGGAATTGAACCTATGCTGCCAGCATGGAAGCCAACTGAGTGGGATATTACACAGACTAGGCAGAACAGTGAGACCAAACATTCTTGGCTTCGCAGCCTTATAATCTTTTCTTTTGTCTGTTTCATTTTGTGGTTTGAGTAAGAGAAAAGAAAAAGTCAGGACTAAGATGCACTTATTATACTTACCCAGATCTATAGGACAAGCAGACCCCAAAATACTCGCGGTTTGACAACCACGGATTCACAGATTTTGTTTTCTCAATATTTACAATACTGTGTGTGTGTGTGTGTGTGTGTGTGTGTGTGTGTGTGTGTGTGTGTGTATATATATATTTATTTTTGGATGGGGGGGGCATTTTTCATGAAAAATGGTTGCCAGTGGTTTATGTGCTTGTTCAAGAATAATTTCGTGGGGTTAAAAATTATCTGTACTGTACATACTGCAGATTCTTTTTCAGTGCATTTATAATAGACGTCAATTATATGCAGATTTGTGCAATCTTGTGGGCCATCTTAGTCCCTATCCCACGCTCTTTGCGGGGTCCACTGTATATACTTTCCATATTCTATAAATGGATATATCATATCAAACATACAGATAGATGGTCCATGTGGAAAAAAATCTGTGGGTTTGACGTGTTTACCCAAAAGGGCCACTTTCTTTTCAAAACTTGAAATAAACTTTCAATCCAACTACCATTCACACACCAAACCCTCGGCGTCAACAACTGCCTGTTAATTCGGAAGACATCATTCGATGCAATGATACATTATGACTTACATAATTTTACAGGGAACATCAGAATAAATACCATGGAACGTCGATTTAATGGACCCGGATTTAACGAATTTCAGATTTAACAAATAGAAGATTTAACGGACAGAGAATAGTATCCACTGACAACGCCTCTTTGTCCAGTAGTTGTCAAAGTTAGGTCATTCCAGAACTGGTCGCTGTTATTTATTGCGCAATCAACAGATAGAGACCGGCACACATATTTCCGGGTTGTGCCGCTGTCAGCACCGATACAAAGTACAGACGAGATCTCACTAAACACCTGCATCCAGACCCGCATCGTAATTAGATATATTTTTTGTTTGTAAAATCCTACCGAGTAAAGAAGCGATAAAACATGACCTCCTTGGCAAACGTAACTAATTCAAATTTCTCAGTCTCAACTAGTTATTTTAAGCATTTAAATGGAAAATGGAAGCAAATAGAGGACTTATTAAATAAACCTCATGGACCAACATGAAGAATCTTTTTGTTCCCAGTGTGTTCTACCTTTATGTGTACCCTCAGTCTGACCCATGTCTAATGCTTTGGTAGTACTCCCGGCTCTGTTAGAGGTGCCACTAAACAATCAGCCCTCTCACAACAGGAGGGCTTTTTGTCTTGGTCTGACCTTTTCGGGTGCACGGTAATAGATTTGTCTGATTTGTTCCTCCTCACGTATTTGGAACGCTTGTCTTTCTGATGGCAAGGGACATCAGTGTGAAGGAAGCATGTACTGCACTGTGTTCAAGCAACTTTTTCTTGCTGGCCCATCACTGTGCTGTTAATGTATTCTGGTTTGACCGAACAATTCAACAGGCAACCCCCACAAGATGGAGGGAGGAGCAGGGTGGGATGGAATGTTCATACAAAGGGGCTACAAATAAGTGAATAGATTGCTTAGTCCAGCCTTTTTGTCATCCTTATTCCCAAAGCTTTTACCGTAAGGGGACTCAAGGCAGGACTGAAGGATGAGCTTAAATCACAGCACATCAGCAAAGAGGGCAGTTTCTCACTGATGTTTCTTGCATGGGGGGGGGGGGCTTAAGTGCCCAAAGAATATTTGAGAATGCCAGTGGAGCGGAAAAGAGAAGACATCTTAAGTGCATGCGCCATCTTATATGTTCGACATTTGAAACATCATTTTAATGGCAATAATCCGCTTCGGTTTCAAGATGAAGAAGCTGTCTTGGTGCAGAATAAAAATTGGGTGTCTGACTCCTAACAGTTTATGGTTTGGGGCTAATTTCTAAAAGCCATGGGCAATCAGACATGAAAAACGGGCAAGAACCAATCAAATAAAGGCCACCCTAAACCACACCGGAGAACGCAAAAGGGCTCTTGGAAAGCCTATTCCTCAGTCATCCCACCATTAGCTATATTAAGAGCAGATCTCTGTTAGCTTGCCCCTTGCCACCACAGAGCCTCCAGCAGAACACAGCGTGAAAGCTTATTTAGTGAAATGGGACACGCATGCATATACAAAGAAGCATCGCATTAATGAATGGCAGCATTCAAGGATGCAGCTCTGAGTGATCTCATTAGATACTATCACAACAGGCCAGTGTTCTTGTGTCACTCGAAAGCCTGGCTCACTCCTTTAAACATCCCCATTTGGGCTCCACTTCCAGCCCTTTAATTGAATGCACATGTGGCCTGCCCGCCAATGAGTGTGTGGAGAGCTGCTGATGGACCTCTGGTCTTCCTTCAGGGCTTTCTGCGACAGACTGGACTAATGCACCACTGAGGCCCGATATTGCTGCCTCATTAACTCCTGCTTGCTTCGAGATACACCGGACTGATTTGAACTTAAGTCAGGTTAGATAATATCGTGTTTATATTTCAAAGAGGGATGACGGATCGGTAAGATTTCGAAAAAGGCAAGCATTGCGATAAGACTGTACCAATATGAGACTGAAAGAAATCTGTCAAAAAAATGAGCACTGTCCACTGCTTGGAATAATATAAACTCATTTCTGTTTGTTGGAATCCTTCTGTTAATGCAGGGAATGCTCAGAACCTGTTTTCCCACAGGACCAGAATAAACACGAGATCCACAAGGAAGCCAAACAGCTTTTTCATGTTTTAAATGGGTTTCATTTCCCCTTAGGAACTAATTAGCATTTTTGCAAAGAGGACCATTTTTGCGTGTTGAATCTTACAGCAGCCAAGTCACACCATCTTATCTAAAGCAAATGATTTTCAACATTCACTATAAAATGTAGGATTACAAATTGACTGTGAATTACTCTCGTTGTGGCTAATTGAGTTTGGAGTTTTTACTCTATTTTTTTTTTCACAATACCATCGCAAGATTCCATTCCCAAATGAATTCGTCAATACGTGTGATTTGATTTTTTCTTTTTACTTTAAACAGCAAATCATTGCCTCATGCTATTTATACGATAATTTTATTTGATGAGTTTATATTTACTGCCCATCCCTTTGATCTAAAAGTTCAATATCAAGAGGATAAAGTGAACAGTTATTGATTTTTGTGTGCTGACTACAGTTATCTATGGCTCTATGGTACCTCAATGTGGAAACAGTTCGATCAAGCTTGTATAAATTACCGGTAAGTCATAGCCAGCTATAAGAAATGTACTATTCACCTCAAAGATAAGACACTGGGAAATAGACACAATTTATGGGATCATGCGCGCATACCTATTTCAGAGTATGATTAGTGACAAACCTGTCAGAGATTACGAACATTATGAAATGTATTTTAAAATTATTTAATTCTTGTCCAGGTTCAACGACTTCTTGGCGTAGCATTTGGAAGACTAATGATGAATCAACTGGCTGTGGCTGGCGGGTCAGACGGCTGGAAAAAGAAACCTGTTCCATGATCAAACAAAATTGGGCTTTTTCATTATCAACTGTTGCTTTGTGAGTCACAAAACCGTACTTTGACAGATTTTGTTGTCGAGAAAGGGAAAATGATTTTTGCGATGAATGAGGATTGTAAAAGTTGTGCATAATTAGAATTGTATTTCAGAGAACATTGTTGGCTAAAACATGATACAGTGCTAGGAAAAGCTGGTTGAATACTTTGCAGGGCTCACACACAAATTACCAGTGGGTCTGTAGTAGAAAAAGCACATGTGTTTTGTTAAAACTATATTGCACAGGCAGTGCAGTGACCAGGATGTATAAAACAGAAACACTACGCTCCAAAACTTTTTCAAAGCACCTATTAAAGCAATGCAAGACGATAGTCTTTATATTCTCCCAATCTGTATTGTTGGTTGGCACATTAAAGGGCCACGTGGCGCAGATGACTTTTTAACCACTGAATGTTATACATCACTGGTGCAGGTCTAAATAAAGTTTAAGACGCATTAAACCTCTGTCTGTCAAATAGGAGTCCAATCAATATGAGAATTGCATCACACTATCTCAAATCCAATACAATCAGTAAAATCCAGAACAGTATTTCTCAAGTGTCAGGGTGGTAATGTCATTACAGAGGTTTTATACATTTCGAAAGATTTTATTTTATTTTTTTTTAAATTAGGTTGACTTCAAACATCAAGTAAGAAAAGAAAAAAGAGGATGGGCCTTGATGTGTGCCAAACATCAGAAGTACTGAGACAAAATAAAAAAGACAAAATATTAATATTTGCAGATTATATATTTACAATTTTTGCATTACACAGCGAGTATTAAATAAGTCCGACATTAAGGGCATGGAAGGATTATTTATTTATTTATTTTGGTGAGGGGGTGGCTAATGATTTTGACTGATTCCTGTGCTTTGTGGTGAAGGTTAATTAACCACTATGGACATGTACAGTGAGAGATCTTTTTATTGTTGAGATCCTTGGGGGATTTATAATGGGAAAAATGAGGTGATGCTTTTCTTTCTCTTCAATTCATAGAGACGTCCAGTAAAGATGACATCACGTTTACAGTGAGGTCTACTCAAGATGTGGCAATTAGTGTGCGTTCCATTTTGTACAACTATGTCCTCACCAGAAACCTTTTCCAGTTCATGTTTAATTTGGTCGATCGATTTAAGGCCTCTCTTAAGTTATACAATGTTAATATATAATATCCATGCTAATTACTAGTAACAGTTCTAAATCCTAGAATAGCCACTGCCAGTGAGGTCGGTGGGTCTGGAGAAATAGCTGAGCACCAAGCAACAACCTCAAGTGCGCCTTTGAAAACAAAGACCAAAATTGTCGTTTTGACATTATAGTCAGTGTTAACGATTTGTACAACAATAATTTGTAGCTGTATCTATAAGGTAGTTTAGTGTACTTGCATTTGTCATCTTGGTGTATTGATATTCCTTATTTATGTAGCAGATGAAACTAATGCAACTGAAAGGAGTACCTGTGTTTGTACCACTTGGGCTCACTCAGGTCGCAGGTGTGCTGGAGCCCATATCAGCTGACCTTGGTTGACAACCTGAATTAGTCGCTAGTCAATCTCAGGGCATTATCACAAATTGTCACTGTTAAGATGTTTGTTTTACTTGCTACAGTTAATTTGGTTCTTTTTTTTTTTTTTTTTTTTTTTTATAAAATCAGTGTAAAAGTGAAATGCAAGACAATCCTCAAAGTTGCACTTTACAATTAAAAGTGGTTCATCATAATTGGTAGGATGATTAATGATGACCTAGAGTACGTTTTATGCATTAGGATCATCCCGTAAAACTTGCAAAATTAAACAGAAAAAAGCATCTGCCCATCATTCAATTATTTTGTTTTTGAATTCTTGTTGGTGGCAGATTGTTGATGCTGTCAAGAAAACAGAGGCACTAGGCCCCTAGATAGAAGGACAAAGACCCCAGCAGAGCTTAGGTTAAGTGAATGGGCCTAGACAAAAGGCTGAGAAGAAGAGCACTTTGAGTGGGCAAAGCTCAGGCTTGAGCCCACGCATCGAGGCCCTGGTCCCAGTGAGCATCTCGAGCACGACCATGTGTGGTCCATTATCACACCAAGCAAGCCCACAGCACCACGCCTCCTTCAAATGGAAGATGGATGCCTCCTTGGTGATTGCCCCGAAATCAGGAAAGAAAGGCGTGTGCAACAAAAGCGTCTGCGTCGAAGGGAGAGTGCCATTGAAAAGGTCGCCCGGAGCACGTCTGCGTCGCTGTGTTCGTCGGCATTGGAGGACAATGGCATTGACAGGTGCTGGAGGAAGACAAGAGGCCTGAGGCCGGCGATTGCTGACACACTCGTGGAAAAGGATGGACAGTCCTGGATGTAGCCAGCAGGGTGTTTGCAATTTCAAACAATTTCAGATGGGACTGGTTATTGATGGGTTATGACGGACTCTTAAGCACAAACGCCGTGAGAGAATATGTCAATTGTTTGCGACCATTGATCTGCTCGAATGCTTTACTCACATCCGCATTCCATGTGCTTTAACAAACATGCCAATATTTCCAGAGCTCTCGCTCAAGCCGAACCACTTGTCATAACAGCAGAATAAAGTAGTGGCGCATCCGTCCGTTTGTCATTTCTCTTCATCTGATACGACTGGGAACACCGCAGCAGTCTGGAGCAGGAAACAGATGGAGCTGTGTCCTTCATCAGATCAAAAAGCAAAGGGGGTGGGTGGAGGACGGACACTTCAGCTTCCTCATTGGAGGTTTCTCCAAACAACCTATGTCACAGCCTCAGCTGCAGTCGGAGCCGTTTCCAGGTCAGCTGCCAGAAAGGGGCAGGGAGTGTGTAGCATCTCAGGAAACCTTTCCTTAAGGAATTGAGGTCACCGGAGAAGAGCAGCTGACCTTCCACAATGCTCATGGATCAGAGAGCAGGAGAGAACGGAAGGATGAAGAGAGAACTTACGTCATCTCGGTCATGTCTTAGGTTGACCGTTGACGCTTACAAAAAATATTTATGATCAACACTTAACAGCCGATGCCGATAAGTCTGAGTGGCTGCATGCTGTTGATGCCATTAATCAGACAATGCATGCACAATCCCCGACCTGCTTGTCCAGCAGGTTATATCACACAACTGTCACTACGCATCAGTCAACACTGACATGATCAGCCGCCAGCAGCTTGTTTCATTCGAGGAAGGATGCCTGCAAGCGGCCCGAACGAGTGAGAGGGTTTCTATGCAGAATGTTGCAATGCAATAGGTCATGTTCGGGTTGCGGGGGGTGAGCGCAGATGAGGTCAAGTCTTCGTCAAACATTTTCTCAGACAAGGATGTGATTGGTATGACTGCCTGTCTCCGTACTAAGTGATAAAATAACTTGAAAAATGACTTTCCAACAGAGAATGGACAGCCAAACCAAGCCAAAGATCAACAATTCACCAGACGGCTGGTCCAGCAGAGTTCAGACAGCAGGGACACTCAAGATGCTACGGGAAGCTTGTGGGAAAATTTTACACATAAGGGCCAAAAAGAAGAGCATGATTTCATTTCATCATATCACAGACTATGCAGTGTGTTTCAAAATATGTCCCCTATCTGGAAGTAGATATTGTTAGTTTATTAGAAGAAAAGGTACATTATCAAATAATAAGACTTAATTAAACAGAAAATAAAAGAATTTCTAATCCATCAATTATCTGAGCTGCTTATCCTCGCTAGGGTCCCAATTTTTTGCTAATATTGAAAACAAATTACCTGTAAAATGAATCATTAATACGCTTGCAAAAAAATAAATCAATACTGACACCCGAAAAGACCTAAATTGGTTATTATCGCATCAAGTATTAGTTTAATTGAAATGGTGGCTATAAAGGTGACATTCAGATCCTCATATCATGCGTGACAACAATTTCAAACTTAAATGTTAATGACTGACTGTTACGGTAGACAGACTTTAATTCAGAACCCTTGTTTTAACTGTATAGCATTTGTTGTTACTACAAAAGAAATGCACTACATAAATTATTAAATGGTTATCAAAAGTGACTGGTTCAGTCATTTGTAATTGGCTAATTATCTTGCTCCAGTCAGAATGGGAATTACAATGACAATTACAGAGTCGAATTTGTGTGACAACATTTCTACAATCATTTGTATGTTTCTTTTCAGGATGACTTTTACTGAACAAAAATAACAGTCCATTAGTCACAATCTAATGGACATTGGTCATTGTATGTGAAAACAGTCTGAGGTAAACAATTCCAGTTAATATTTTATTTTTTGCCTCTTCTTAAAAAATAATTTCATACAGCTTTGCAAACCTTTTCACACCACAGAGGCTAAAAATGTCACATCTGGTCAAACAACAACTCCCAGCTGTACTCAGGCCACTACGCTCAAGCAAAATGTACTGGCAGATAAAGAAAAGAAAAGTCATTTGGGTGGTAGATATTGGCGCTCAAATACAGTATATACAGTATGTGCTGCTGGATGTAATTGACCAGAAAGCCCTTCACATGCTTATTTTTTCACTCTGCAACACCTCAGGCTACGTTTCAAGCGTAACCCTCCGGCATTTGCGGAGTATTCATAAATCAAGACAAAATCACCGACGGTGCTGCTTTTGGATGTTTCCTACACACTGGGGAGTCATTTGTTATTACAGGTGGCCCCTTACAAGCGCCGTTCCTTCTCAAGTATCACAAATAAAATACTCAAATACTCTAGTTAGCGTTTCCTTGTCTTTATACTGTGCAGAAATTATGGGCAAAATGCAGCTTGCAACCGCAAACAATAGTGAGACTTCTTGAAACAATGGCCAGAAGATTTAAGGATCGTGGCTGCATGTAAATGCACAGAAGGAGATTAGTCTACTCGGTCCATAATCCCTCTGCAGACAGGAACAGATTTATGGGTCATCATGAGGGGGCGGGTGGCTGTTCTATGTCTACCACAGCAGTCTGGTAGGGGACTCGAGGATGCTTCGAGCAATCAAACCAGGCCTCTGTTAAGTTTATGACCACCCACCCGCACGTGCCCTTCAGGAACAATCCTCCGTGACATATAAACCACAAACTCTTCTGTTTACAAATCTTATCCCACCGAGAATCAGCTGAAACGGTAATATGAATGTGGAACGGGGGTGGGGGAGGGGCTTTCATTTAATGAGTTGACTGCATTACAACAGTACGTGGATGAAGATGCAGCGAGGAAAAAAACGGGAAACTCTGATGTGGCTTAACTAGCATAGCAGAAGCGCGAACTGCTTTATGATGAATTTTATTCGTCAAGTGGTTGGACAAAATAAAATCACCTGGATCTCAATCCTCTTTTTTGTGTAGACGACAGGTATATATTTTAAAATGTATAGAAATCCAGATGCTTCTATTATTTGCAACCACTTCACAAAATAAAATTGGACACATTATTTTTTTCAGTGTAAGTGGAACTACCTAACTGCAACCATTCTTTATTGTCAAAGGTTGAGTGTTGACTGATTAAGATATGACAGGGGTCAATGTTAACTTTTACACGGTAGGGACAGTTTGTTACATGTGTGTCACATATGAACAATATTGCTGTTGACATATATAAGACAAACATTACAACTGAAATTTACAAAAGGGAAATTCAAACTATAATCAATGCCTTTTTATGCCCTCATTAAAAAAAAGACAAATTAAAAAAAAAACGGATATCTTTACAACTCTATGAAACGAAAAGCATTTTCTTTTAAACATTTCCATGTATTTGTTCTGAGCTATTGTAAAATATTGAAACAGTCAGGGTTGTTATCAAGACTATGCCAAAACCAGTACTCTGGCATACGAGCTCTGGCAGTATGCAGCGGCAAACCCAAAGTAATGCACACACATGAAACAA